TATACTTACCTCTCCCACTGCATCTTCTATCCGGTGAAAGGAGGGTAGTGTCACAATACCAGTATACTTGGAGCCAGTTCTAATAGGCTCTTTGAAAGGGGAGCAAATTTCAAAAATATATACATTAGATTCACAATATATTCATTACGCTGCACCTAGTTTGTTCTGTCCTTTCTTGAAGTCTCCCACACATATGAATATCTGAGACGTACCAAATGAGATTGGACTTCCAAAGGTCTGGTTGCCACCTTATTAAGGTCACAAACACTTACTGTTTAGAGCCTATACCTTGAAAAGGCTCTATATCATGTGAGTTGGCATTTTAAACGTTAAATTCAGATTATCCATCTAAATGTTATCGCCCTATTGTGTTGTTTTCTATATCCCTTATGTATGAAATACCCCTTTGAAGTTTGTTATTAAGGGGTAAGTGTCTATACTCATTTTAGCTTTTTGCTCTGCACTCTCACTCGCTCTATGGAATGGTGAATGGTAGCACCTAAACAGTGGGAGTTTAAAATACAATTTTCTTAGTGCTTTGATTGCCTGGGCATCCGGTTTTTATTTATTTTTGGCAAATCAAAGTTATTTAACTCCAAATGGGATGAGAACCGAGCATTAAGACCACAAGGACATGGTCTTTACACCAAAGCAACTTGATTACTCAAAAGTTGTTTTGGTGCTTATAGTGTCCCTTTAATGTACTGATCTGCTTTCACACTATCACACTTCAACCATACCTGCACTAAAAAGAGCTACTGTGAGCAATGAGAGTGTCAGGTTCCAGTGGGACACTTGGTTGTCTAGAGTCTAGACCAGGGCTCAAAAATACAAATCGTTTACTACTGTAAAAGTTACAATCCCCTGCAAGCCTTTTTCAACTACATTCTCAGACCTCTCATATTCTCGTTTTTTGTTGCAATGTATTTACTTAGGCTCTTCCTCAAACGGGTAATCTAGACGTGGACCCTGTGCTCACAGTGCGTCACCTACACCTCACTGACAAGGTCCAAAGAAGGCTGAAACAATTGGGGTTGCTGTTTCTCTCGTGGCTGCCCATATGGGTAGGATAAATCTGATATGCAAATGCTACAGACTCTCTTTGTAATGGCACAAGTGAGCAAAAACATTTTTGAGACTTGAGCAGGGAATAACTGAAGGGCAGGCTACTGAGTTTCTCAGAGCTCTCAATCTGTTTTTGCAGCAATGCATTTAATTTGTCTTTTTCTATTACATCATTTTGGATTAGAAGGTAATCACAGTAAGGATAAAGGGTCATTTATAACTTAATTGGTTGTAATAACATTTTCAACTTCCTAGTGCACATATATTTGTATATACATTTCACTTTTAAACAGCAGTAAGGAGATTCACACTCACAAGGGCAGTGGCGAAACTACCACGGACGCAGCTGCGACTGGGCCCGTCACTCCAGGGGGCCTGACTGCCCTGCAGACACCTGCGATTGCGGGTCCCGCCAGCTAAGTAATGCGGCCCCAGCCCGCGCGGTGTAACAACCGGGGCTGCATTGAAGGGCCCATTGGGTGGCCCATGCTGTTAGAGCCACTGATGCTATGTATTTCCAGGGGGCCCGTCAGCGCTTTAATGGCACGACCGAGCCCCCTCTAATGATGTCAGACGCTGGGAGGAAGTGACTGCCTCAGTTACTTCCTCCCAGTAACCACCGGGAGCACGGAGGAGGGAGTCAGAGTGGGATCAGGCTGAGCCACTGGACCCCAGGGGAAGGTATGTGTGCCTGTATGAATCTCTGTATGTGTATGTCTGTCTCTGTGTCTGTATGTATGTGTGTCAGTATATATGTCTGTGTGTGTATATATGTGTGTGTATGTCTGTCTGTGTATCTGCGTGTCTGTATGTGTATGTCTCTGTATATGTGTTTGTGTCTATGTGTGTGTCTGCAAGTGTATCTGTTTGCATGTGTGGGGGGAGAGGGGGACGTATGGGAGAGGGATGGTAGACATATGGGGGGAGGATTGACGGAGGTGGTAGACGTATGGGGGGAGGAGGGCAGGGCAATTTTCGCACCGGGGCCCCATGGTTTCTAGTTATGCCTCTGCACCGGGGCTTAATTCCGACTTGCTAATGGCAAGTAAACAAGTGAAAACATTGACCAAGGTTTATATTATTCTCTTACTTGAAAACCTAGCTTGCTGAATTGGCTTGTGGCATCCTTGCTATGGACTTCTGATGGAGACTATGCAGAATACATACAGCATGAATATCCTTCTAATGAAGCCCTTGAACATTATTTCAAAAATGCCCAATCACAGTACTATATGAAGGTAACTTCTACACCTTAAATCGAAAAAAGGGAAGATATACAACATAATGTCCCATTCTCTGACATAGTTAATTCCCTAAAATGAGAACTCAAAATGAATTTTAAATTTAAAGCCAGATGAGCCAAACTGAAAGCATGGCAGTCTTAGAACATTTCAAGTTTGGCTATTTTCACCTCAACGTTTAAATTGACTTTGAATTGACTTAGCATTCTCATGTTACTGAATAACTGCCACTCTGTATTTGTGAGATGCATTTTATTATTATTGCAATACAATTTTAAAACCCGCACCTTCTAAAAGTATATCTACCCATACTGGAATTTATTACGGACAGGACTCCTCTTTCGCATTTCACACACGCACCCCTTTACTGCAAACTAAGCTGTTCTAAAAAGGGCTACTACCAAAACTGTGCTCTACCATATTGCCAGGGAAAATACTACCACTGCACATTATGGAATTACTTTATCATTTGGTTTTCAGAGAAAGTATCCAAAAACAAAGATATGTAACGGTTTATCAATGTTGGAAATGAGAAAAAATATTGGATGCTTTTAGACCAATTACTTTTTTTAAAATCTTTGTTTCCTTGTTGCTTGGAACCAGAAAAATAATGCTTTGGGACTGCTAATTCTGCCTCAAGGAAGCAACTTTGACAGATGTAGTAGCTGTCTAGGTCTACAGGATATTAAAAATCAACAGAATGTAATAATGTTTTAGTAGGTGTTCAAGCACCTTTCAGTTGATGTTTTACATCAAATGATATTAAATGCCAGAGCTTTTAATACTTTGTTTTGTTTTCCATGGCTCAAATTGTAATGTTTGCACAAGGTCGTTCTGTCTATCGAGCAAAACACTTCTGAAACCAATAAAAAAAAAATTAAAAAAATAACAACATATGGACCAACAGGTAAAGTGTCCACATGCATATAAAAAGTTCTCTTCTTAGCAGCAATGCATTCTTTAGACAACCCAGATATAATTGTGATACTGTACTCTAATACTTTACAAATTAGGTAAGTGTCACTAATAAAAAAGTGCAACAAAAGTGAAGTAATTACCATTGAAACATAAAGGATGTTGATGCTGATTGCATTGGTTTCCATGGGTCCTGCTTTGCTGGTAGACCTCTGATTTACTTTTTTGAACATTTTTGAATATATTTTCCTAGATGCAATTGCATTAATGATAACCAGTTAAACTCATTATATACTGCTACAAATTGTGTTTCATCCAAATACAAAATAAAAAGTATATAAAGTAAAATGAGAGAGAGAATATATATATATATATATATATATATATATATATATATATATATATATATTGTAGACCAGGGCTTGACATACCAGGGCTTGAGAGTGCCTATAATGGTGCTCTCTAAGCACCATAAACACTATAGCTCATTGTAGTGGTTATACCTCTACCAGTCTACCTCTACAATGAGCTGCTGGGATTATGACGTAATCTGTAAAATGAAATGAAAACTTTGATCAGAATAATAGTATCTAATCCATAATGAACAGGTACAAAGAAAAACTTTTATGCATTTGATGGAGAACTGGCAGGAGACTATGTCAGAGTCTATTACCACTTTTGAAGTGAAGAATTAGAGAAGTAAAGAAGTAAATAAATTTACGTTATGCGCGCCAAGTCAGCTTGCATTTAATTTCTCAGTTCCCTACACATTTTAAAACACCAGAATCAAGAGTGGAGTGTTGCCTGCAACTTCATTGTTCTAAAATATCATGGAAAACGTAAGTTAATTTTACTATATTATATATCTAAAAACCGATTAAAATGTCATACAGCTTTAAGTTGTGTGACTAGGTTCCTGCTTATGTTGATCCGATATCAATGTAATAATTAATGTAAACTAATGAAGATATAAAGCTCTAATGCTGTTTACTCCATAATCGTGCTCCATATTTACTATAGGGTTAGAAGACACAAAAGAAAAATCCAAGCCTGGGATATTTAACCTCAAGTGGCACTACCTGCATTAAACAAAGAGAGAGCCCCAGCCTGCACCAAATCCTATTAATTGTGTCAGATGAAATCTGTCAGGTTCACAGTCTGTTACGGTACAGTGACTCTGCTTAATATTGAATGAGCTGTGTCTGAGTCGTTGCTTATAACACATGCATACTTGCCAAGAGCATGAAAATATGCAAATTTCAGAAAAAAAATATTGTCTATCATGTAGAAAACATATGACTCCTCTGCTTTGAAGCTTTGATTGTTATTATTTATCAGTATTTAAACCGCCATACCATGCATGCAGATAAAATCATTCTGTACTAATAACTATTTTCAGTTTTGGTATTATCTTCAGTCTGCAGTTATCAGCTTTTTTTGTGTTTATGTAAGAGGGAAATTATGGGATACAATTGGTGCCTAATCAGCTCACGGTGACAAAGAAACTAGCAGAACTAAAGCCAAGTCTTAGCCCGAGGTTATTGTCTACTCTCCCCAAACACACAGGCATGCCTCCCAACATTGGGAGGAATTAATTCAGAACACATGGGTTCGTGGTCCTAAAGGGGCCATGACAGTTATTACACTTTCTTCACTAGCAATGTTTACAATAGGCAGTGCCACCTGGAAAAAGGTCAAAGATGCCCATAGGAGGGGCATGCCAGACTAACATGAAGGCATGCCAGGCTGACTGACAGCCTCCAAGCTGGCACCAATCAGGGCAGACCATGAAGAGAGTGCTGTTGAAATGGTGTCTGCGTGGATCTTGTACCCTCAGCACAGCGTGAACGTGTTTAATGATGCACTCAAGTTGTGTCAGCTGAGGACAGTTTGGTAGTCCCCCAGGATGTGGGACATCAGGGAACAAAATTAGGATGGAGACCCACCGACACAAAAAATAAAAACCACATATGTGTACACACACTTGGTTTTGCAATATGGAGACAATGCATTAAATTAAGAGAAGACAAAAAAATGATAAATAACTTTCTGTACCGCACATTTACAGCTTGCTCAGAGACAATAAGTGGCCAATGTGAAAACAAATAGTTACTTTGCAAGCAGTTAGTATCTTATGCTTGATTGATACCTAGATCCATCCATGTTTTGTTTTTAGTTTTTTTCCCATGTATATGCTTTTGCCATATCACAGGCACTCTCAAAGAAATATATGACAAAACCTGTGCAAGTTACTAGAGACTTGTATAGGTCACAAATGTACTTGTACAGACATGGGAGAGCTTGGCTTTCTCCTGTGACATCATCAGTGTACCGTAATTAAACTTGCACAATTTTGTAGTTATCAAGTGGTACTGCAATTAAACAAGGATACATATTTAATGCACAAAAATATAAATGTTTTGCAGAATTTGCTTCATAAGCATGCCTACTTAGCATTGACCCTTCACTCCAGAAAAAAGACTTCGTTATCCAATGTATGTACACAGCTCCGCCATTCACAACACTTAGTGATATTAACTACAAAGCAACCTGTGTTAGAAGCAAGGAACATCTAGAATATATAGTAAGGATACCACTAGCTGTAGTTTCTCTGACTGTTTGCAGCGAGGCTGAGATTCAAACTAAGCTCGCTCAGTGCTGTTAGGGGCTGAGCTACCTACAAGCATTTGATAAGGAACTCTTTCTGGCATGAAAAGGAGTGCCCTGCCTCCCCCATAGTGTAAGGCATTAAAACAAACCTTTTTTGAATGGTTTCATTTCTTATCTTGGGTCCGCTGGAGGCTGCTCCTTGCCTACACTACTAACAAGGGAAAGCAGTAAGATCCTAAGCAGTAACTTCCATGAACTCATTAAGAAACTTCTTCTGGTGTGAGTAGTGGAAGTGGGGATTGGTGCTCAGCGGGCCACAGGTAAGAAGTCAGTTAAGAGGTCATGGGGAAGGGGCAGGGAATTACATCAAGCTGTAATGATTATGGCGCATTTATTTCAAGGAAAACTTCTATTCACTATAACAACTTCAGCTAATTGAAGTTGTTATAGTTCAATATTTAAGTTCATGTTTTTCTTTTTACTTACATTGAATTTGTTATCTTGTTATAGTGCGTGTCCACACACCCAAGCCCCACAATGCAGTGAGTCTGCCATTAATTTCTTTTTTCTTAAATTCTTTATTTTTGCAGGAAGCCATATAAACATCATGTTTACATTATGTGCAATAAAGGTTGTCAACAGAGGTTACAGTTTGCAGTAAAAACGTCAGCACATGCATATATTTTCCCAATTTTTTAGTAAAATTCTTACATAAATTCCTCACAACTGGACATTCGGTTAGGCTGGTTATTGACTGGAGGTAGCCTGTCGATAACATTAACGTGTGCGCCCTCAGTGTGGCCTGGTAAAGCTATGCCTGGGATTCACGTCGCTTAGGGCGCGTGAGTGTTGGGTATTATACTTCTTCTCACTGTTAGGTAAGAACCTAGGCCTCTCATGGTGATTAGCCCCTAAGAAATCTTATCCGCCGGGTTGGCTGGTACACGTGCTATGCGGTCGCTCGTATGCTTAAAACAGGCGTTGCACGTGAAAATAAGGTGAGTGGTGGGAGGGGGGTAACTTAGCTGGTCATATTGGCTGGCTTGTTGCTTACGGAGCCAGGTGTAGGGGACATAGTTATATTTATACATTTATGCCTTCCAGAGTTAGGTAAACCTTTCTAAGCAAAACAAAGTACAATAGTAAACATAAAACCATAGGTAACAATATAAACAGAAAATGTTATGTTTCAGGCAGGAGAATCGGGCGTGCTCATTTTTGTTCCCCTAGGCACAAATGGGCTGATGTTTGCGACAGTCCATGTAGGGCGGGTGACCGCCGGGGCTGCCTCGGCTGGTAGGCCCAGGGCTCGAAGGAAAGCTGGCGCTTCCGATTTATGTGTGAGGATGTGCGTCTTGCCTTCTCTCTCCACCAATAGCCGGTGTTGCCCCCACTTGTACGTGATGGATTTCTCACGAAGCTGCTGAGTAAGTTGTCCAATAGATCTCCTCCATGCCAACGTGTGCCTAGATATGTCTCTGTAAAAAGTCAGCTGTGCTCCCTCAAAGGGGACCGTGGGAGAGGCCCTGGTGGCTCCCATGAGAGCCCCCCGGTCAGAGTCCCGATTGAATTTGACAAGCACGTCTCTAGGGGCCTCCTGAGGTGCTTTGGCGGCTTTTGGGAGTCGAAAACATGAGTCCACTCCCATCTGTTTCACTTGTTTGGGCAGCAGTAGTGTGGCCAGCAGCCGTCTGCAATAATGGGGTAGGTCGGAAACGGTGACCGATTCAGGGACCCCTCGGATCCTCACATTCCTTGCCTTCGCCCTGTCTTCCATCTGGGCTAGCTGTGTAGTCAGAGCGCTACATTGTTTCTGCAAAGACCCCAGGGTTGCGTCTGTGGCAGTTTGTGCGACCCCCGCTCCTCTGAGGCTCTCTTCCACGGTTACCATCCGGCTTGTAAGCGTCGAGACTTCCTCCCTAACCAACGCCATGTCGGCTTGAAACATAGCCTGTATTTCTTTTGTTAGTGCCTTTATATATCGGCTTTAGTGGAGGGGGCTGAGTCCCCTATTTCCAAGGGTGTCGTCGGCTTGGTGTGTGCCTTCTGTGAAGGTAAGTAGACCGCTGTCTGGCTCTCTTCGTCCGATGACGGGAGGTGTAGGCCTCCGCCATCGCCATCTTGTCGAGGTCGGACCGCGGCCGAGCATAGAAAAGCTGCAATATCTCCGGCTCTAGGGCCGGGATCGGTTTTGTGCTTCTTAGTCTTCTTGCCCATAATGTGAGGCACTTGGTGAGCGTTGGGTGGTTTGTGAATTGTGCCGTTTATCGCCAAAATTCAGCTTTAGTGTAAGTTCCTTAACGGAGCTACTGTGCTTTGCGTCCTGCTCGTTCGGGTGCTGGCTCTGCCATTAATTTCTTGACTTGTATACCCAATCATACTTTCAGGTCAGTATGTGGAAATGGGCTGCTGCTTGTCGAAAAGAAGCGTTCGCTCATGTGCACACACTGAACTCTACAAGACAGAACATAGAAGAACAGTCTTCCATTTCACAGGCCAATAAAAACTGCACAGCATGTGTTTGGTGGATGCAGCCATGATAGGTAAAACAGTGTTGAGGGGGCGTGGGCCGGAAACCTACCACATGTGACCATGAAGTCAGTATACATGGGGTCAGCCCATTCACTGCCACTAAACCATCTTTGGAGGCTCGAGCTCACAGTAGAGGTTTCTTATTGAGTAATAGCTTTCTTATTGATTGTAGAACTCTGACTGCCTGGAACTTGTCGTCTGTTGGCCTGAGTTGCTCAATGGCAGTTGCCCTGAGTTGCTCAGTCTTCCCTCCGACAATGGTGGACTGATCTGTCATTTAGCTATACGCTTGTAAATGTGCATACCAGGCACATGCGCTGTGTAGCGTTCCGGATTTATTTATTTATTTTTTATTTATTTTTTATAGAGAATCATTAAAAGCAAATGATTGTCTATAAACATTTTGTTAGTTGATGTGAGCATGCTCACATGGCCCACAAGACTTCTTTACGACTGAAAGGAAAATGATGGAGCGCATGGAGGCGGAGCAAACAGACACGAGGAGAATTCAAACGCCAATAGAATAGAAGTACGTATTTTAAACTTAAATATGATTGCCATCCCTATAAGGAGTCTAATGTTTATTAATTATATAATGTGAAAACATAATTAAAGGGATATATTTTACAAGACTATAGTGTTCCTGTGATAAGGCCAAAACCTATAAAATACATTAAAGTTGTACTGGTGCGTGAAGTGTCAATTTAAATTTGGGTTGTGTAGTGATCCCTATTTAGAGACGTTTGTGTAACATTTGTGTAACATTTGTAATATATGCACATAGTTCATATACTCTGTCTATTCCTAATCAGAAAAAAATATTTTATCTATTTTTACAACTACTAAAGATAGGCAATAAATTGATTTATGGACCAAATTATAGACAGTTTTAAACATGAAAAGAGCATGGCGGTGGGAAGAACACAAAAGAACAAGCTTTTACAAAAGAGACAAAAGAAATGATTGAGGCAGGAAAACTAAGGTCAAGAGGGTAACAATAGTACACATTTGTTACAGCTTCCGTAGCCTTATAACTAAAGCCTATATGAATGATATGCATAGACCTACATCACTGACAATAATCATAAACAATGTAATCGTATATCAGAAAAATCCTGATGTGCGAATTTCATCTACAGTGTGACACTGTATGGGTTTGTACCATTTATTTTACCTTACATATTTTAATTCCATTCTTTTTCTTTTATTACAGGTTTTGCCACCCCTGCCATGTAAATGGTACATTCCCACATCTTCATTAGGTCAGTTCTCCTGCTAAAGTGCATAACCCGAATGAGTGGGGGAGGGTTTTCAGCTTGGCTACTTTGGCCAAGTTAATTGTCAACAGAGTGCATAAATCCTTGTAGATAAAGGTAAACCCTTGCTTCCTATTTATGTCCTATTCTGCCACTTTCTCGAATAAAAGGATACAATATTTCAAAGGAAGAGTCCGAATTGAAGCAAGAGGGCATATCAACGTTTAGAACATTGTAGATATTCCTGGCATGATTCATTTCTATAAAGTAAAAAAAGTCACCATGCACCACTTTTCAATTTCAATCAAATGACACTGGAAATTTTCCATTAATATTTGAAGCACTCGGGGAAAAAAAAAGGCTGCATGATTTATTATGTGAGCACATAGCCCATGGTTGATTAAACTTGTACGGTAATTAAGTGCACAGGATTAGACATAACAAAGCTGTTTCACAGTCATTTCCCTAAAATAATGGCATTTGTTATTGATTTAAACATGCAATAAAGTGGTTTATTGCTTCATGTAACTCCAAAAACCAATAAGTGTTTCCCAAAAACAAACGGTCAGAGGAAAGCAGTGGAGGTGATGCGATATTAGTGAAGTTGCACACGGTGGAGAGGA